CATAGCCCTCGAAAAAAAGGCGCCCTACGGTACATTTGTTTATAGGTGAAATCGATCCTTTCACTAATGTAAAGAATGGGATCATTACCTTTCCTTATTCTCAGTATGGCAATGCAAAAAAGACTCAAAATAGCAAACATAAGGATTTACCTATAAGTGGAATTTTGAGTTTTTTCATGCATTGCTATACTGAGAATAAGGAAAGGTAATGATCCCATTCTTTATATTAGTGCTATTGCATTATTAGGCACAAGAATAAAGGATCGATCTCTCTGCAGCTGGATTTTGTCTTCCATTTTCAATTTCATTTGTTATCTCTTTTTGAAACTATATACCTTTTTGGTCCTTGACCCAAGCACAAAAGAATGATGTAAAAGCCAACTTGAGCAATCCTTTAGTTTAAAAGATTAGAGGAGCAATCGATAGCCGGAAGAAGATATGATGAAAGAAAGAAGAAAAAGTCTTCGGTGCAGAAATTTGAATTTGGGCCTATTCTCCTGAAAAACTCCTGCTACATTACAGTCCACTTTAAAGCCTGGTACCAGGAAAAAATTGCTCAGTGCAGTAGTCTAGAGCTCATCTAAGCCATTGATAAGGCTGCATGTACAACGTAAGATAAAGAAGTGTTTGAAAATTATAAAAAAAGCGGCCATCTTGAAAAACCAACCTCAATCCTACAAATACCATAGATAGTAAAGGAAATATCTAAAAAAAGATAGTAGAAATTTCCTTTACTCTACTATCTATGCAAATACCATATAGCTAGAAAATTTAGAGTGTTAAAATTTGGCGAATTTACTCTAAAAGAGGTTTGGAAGTTAAAATTTTGGTGAAATTTTAACTCTGTGCTTGCTTCTATGGAACCCCATCAAATTGAAAACTAAATTTTGGCAAATTAACTTCCCTTTGCCAATTTCACCAAAAATTTTTACTCCACCAAATTTTCTAGCTATTATAATAATTAACTGATTATTAACAGTTATAATAGTTAACTAATGTTTATTGGGTGTGGCTTCTGGAACCGAAACCTCGGTCAGTATTGCTTCAGGATTCGGTACCAGCAAGTCAAGCACAGGAACCATGGAACTGGATACTTTCAAACTGGTATCACCCATCACTATCTAGTACTCCCTCTGCTTAGGTATATGCTTCATCAGGGCGTTGTGTGATCATGATTCATGATCAATATTTTAAACTAACCTATGCATGATTCTCTGATGTTTTAACGCTAGATTGCGCAATACATTGTTTTGATAATACACTGTCACTATCATAACACAAAAGCCCATGCATAACTAGGTACAATTATTTCACAGTTCGTTTAAATCAGTTAAACTATGTTTTGAAGGCGTCCACACTATTTGGAACTTTGCAAATAGTGTGGACACCTCCAAACATGGTTTAACCTATATTTTTAGAACTTCCGACCTTCTGGTTCACTACTAAACCTGAAAAGGTCATATATATATATATATATATATATATAGTTCAACTCTCTGCTCATTTTGGAGCTGTATAACTCATGCAGCTTCAAAATAATGTCAGTGGTGATAAATCAATTATCACACTGGGTCTTTTTTCTCCCATATACTATGCACATATTTATATGGAAGAAACCAGTGTGATAAATGTTATACTGCTAGTCTTCTCTTGCATTATCTGGTTTATTGCTACTGAGATTCCTTTGATCTTAAAGTCAAGCATACAATAAGTATGCTTATCTGTACCTATAGGTGCCTATGAGAGAGCTCTCAAAGAACAAGGAAGTGCTGATGTAGCGTATGCTCGTCTTATGTTACTGGGATCAGCTGGTACTGGCAAGACGTCTCTCAAACGTTCATTAATGGAAGAACCTTTCAATCCTCATACTACAAGCACCATTGTATCTGATGTATCCTCTGTACGACCATTTGGACACGAGTGGCAAACAATGAGAGGGAACAAATGGAGTGAAGCCACAGAAGAAGATGAAATTGAAGAACTGGCGCATTTGTTTAAATCTATTCATTGGAGACCATCTTCATACCATCCATCTGAATCAAGTTTATATCATTCTCTTGATTTAGGTGATACATGTACAAGTGCAAAAGCTCCAGATTTAGATGCAAAAATCCATATTAAATCATTACTTAGAAGAGTTGATAGCTATGACACAACTGCAGAATTACTTGTTCAAGTGAGTCATTCTGCATACATTACATTGTAACATAATCATAATTATTATTTTTAGCCATTTCTTCATATATGGGATTGTGGTGGTCAGCCAGTGTTCCTTGAGATTCTCCCAGCCTTCCTCACTCCTCGTACAATGTTTCTCCTCCTGTTTGATGCTTCAAAGGATTTCAGAGAAAGATGGCAGTCACGTCAGAATACTCGTGATGGTAAAGTGCTGTTTGGTGAGGTAGTGAATGAAAGCACAAGTCATCTAATGGCCAAATGGATGTCTGCAATACACAGTCACCTCATAAAGCACAGCAAAAATGATACTTCTTCTCCTAGTATCTATTGTATTGGCAGTCGTGGTGACAAGCTACATGATAAAGGAAAAGAAGAAGTTAAGAAAAAAACACTCTCTCTATGCAGCAAAAGAGAGTTCCCAAATGTTTCTCGAGAAGTGCTAATCATTGATAATACAACTTCAGGTAAAGGAAAAGAGGAAGATCCAAACATTACAAAGTTGCGTGAAAAAATTGATAAGTTTATCACTAATTTAGTCGTTCCAACTCCTGTCAATTGGGTTCTCTTTCGCAAAGTTCTTCAAGAGTTAAAGCAGAATATCATTAGTGTACCTTATGCTATTGCCATTGGAGTGGCATGTCATATACGAGCAGCTGATGTCTCTGAAGTATTGATATTCTACCATGAACTGGGAGTTTTGCTTTACTATCCTCAAATAGAAGGTCTGAAGAATAGAGTCATTCTCAGTCCAAAATGGTTTGTCGATACTATTGGGAAGGTTTTCACACTGGAAGGATGTGAAAAAGGAATAAATTGGCAGAAGTTGTTACGAAATAATGGTATTCTTGTTCAACCACTTTATAAAGAAGTATGGAGGTCAAGTGGTATTGGCCCAGAGGGAATAATTGAACTTTTAGTTCATTTTCGTCTTGCAGCTCAAGTTCAAACTGAGCTTTATGATAGCAGATTCAAGCAGTATTTTCTTCCAGCAGTGCTACCAGGATACACAGGTGACCCTAATGAAGTACGACCTGGCTATAAGCTAAGAGCCTCACCTGTACACATTACATTCTCCACTGGGTATGTACCTCCTGGCTTCTTCACTCGTTTAGCAACTGCTGTTGCTGCGAATCCGAATGTTAAGCTCAATTTTGATAACGTTTATACAGCTGCACCTACTGCTGGTTTCTTTGATCGATTAGCTATTGCAATGAAGCTACGCTCTAAAATTAAGAGAAAAAGCATCTATCGTAATCGTGCCTGCTTCTCTTATGGTTGTAATTTTGATGATTTTTTCCTCACTGACATTAATGATGCTATTCAGGTTGATGTGTTGCGATATGTTCCTGAAAGTAGTCGTCTAGTTTCTTTCAAATCGGTTTGTCAAGATATATTAAAATTGCTAAGGAAATGTAGTGATGAAGTAGAAAATACCCTTTATGGTTATCATGGGCATAATAGTGCTCAGTCATCATCAAGAGATGTTCGCTATGTGTGTGAGTGTGAGTCTTCCAGTTCCAATAAGGTTCATTACATTAAAGTTGATGCTGAGAAGCAAACCTGCTCTGATCCTGTTTATTGTCACAAAGTTAGACGTGCTCGTTCCCTCACTCAAAGAGAATCAATGTGGTTTGAAGGAGAATTTAAAGATAAGCTGCCCTTTTTAAAATGTAAATAGTTTGTAATTATATTACATGTACAATATCATCTTTTCTCTTATTATGCAGATCTTTTTTTTGGAGTTGGTCTTTTTTCTTTGATTATTTTATTGATACTTATTGGGTTTTTATTAGGCACTGGTCTAGTTAATATTAATTCAACTACAGCAGATAAAGAAAGTAAGTTTTATCATTAAAGTGACTACAATTCACTATTTTGTAGTAGTTGCTTATGCATGCATTAAAATATTATTTTTACTCTTCCTTCAGATATCTTGACAATTGGCCATTTGCGAGAAGCATTAGATGTATTGGAGAATGGGCACTTTCCTAGTAACAAGTGGTCGAATCTTGGATTGTCCTTGGGCCTGCTGAATCCAAAGTTAGATGCAATTGAAAACAATTATCCAAAGGACAGCGAAAGATGCCTTCAAAAATGTCTGACATTATGGTTGACAGAGGACATTGAAGCAACATGGAGCAAATTAGCTGATGCTGTTGATAAAACTGGAGAAAAAGCTGTTGCAGCTTATATAAGTAAGTATATATAGTTATAAGAAATGAATTACTGCTACTATTAATTCAGGGATAAGAAAAGTGAAGAACAAAAGTGAACTGTAACATCTCCCCAAAATTATGACACATGCAGATTACATTTTAGTATTCAAATTACACATACATTATTTGATTGAATGCACACAAAAATCTATACCAACATTATGAGCACAACCATGCAACCTTCATGCTAGTTTGTAATGAATGATTTTTTATTAAAATAAAGAGAAATGTTTGCCCATTCTCATCTAAATAATTATTGTGTAAGGGGAAGTCACAAGATTGTCCTTGTGTAATTAATTACTAGTTATTAGATGAATCACTATTGTTAAAAATTACATCTTCATAGTGCAACATGTTTCAGAGACAGATATTAATGTGATGGAAATAACCAGTTCCTGTCACAAGTAGTCAGTGTATATTGATATTTCCTGAATAGAGTCCAAATATACTTCCATAAAAGGAAAGACATCTTGGAAATGTTGACAGAATCTTGTCTACAGTACAAACACTACACTAACTAACCTTTAACAAAGCACACATAATGATTCACTGCAGTAGTGGGTGGAAGTTCCATTTAAAAATATGTACATTACATTTACATGTATGTGTTCACAATATTCATATCTAGAGCTAAGATTAGTTCCACCCAATGGTAGATACTATTATGATATCACAGTCACTATATGATTTTATGATGATGTCATTAATTAGTTATGGTAGCTACAGCATTAAAGTATTCCAATAATAGAATATCAACAGAATGAAGTACATGTACATGTACAGGTAATGGAACTGACTGTACACATAACTGCATGTACATGTATCTATGAAGCTTGTCTCTTCCTATCTATTTCTCAATCTCTCTCTTATAAAAATTACTCTCCAGCTGTAGAATGACCTGGTTGTGTATCATTGTCATTTACTACTAGTAATTTCTACTCCTCCATTCCACTGGATATCACTATGAGTGGATCTAACCTCTTGAGAAATGCAACAATTATAATAATAATAATAACAATAATAATAATAATAATAATAATAATAATAATAATAATAATAATAATAATAATAATAATAATAATAATAATAATAATAATGTTATTAAAGCAATAAGACAAGCAAACAACACGAGTAGTTCCAAGAAAGAGAGAGAGAGAGAGGAAGAATGATAAAGAGTATATTATAATCACAATATCAAGTCATAATTATTATTATTAATTATTATCAGTGGGTATCATTGTGTACTTATTATCAGACAACGGTGCTTTGGGTGTTAGCAGCTGCCGATAATTCAAAATTAATCTTAGCCCCGCCCCCTCCTCCTCCCCCACTGTGATTAGACCCAAAGGAATGGATAGAGTTACGATCCTCACCACCAGAAGTTAGATCATCAGCACTAGCAGATACCTTTAAAATAAAAGAACAATAATGTCTATCACTGCCTTTATGAATGTAGCATCTTGTCAGTGAATTTTCAAGATGCTCCAAGATTCAGCCAAATACGTCAAAAATTTTTACAAGAGAATTTTCTATTTTTACAATTTTTTCTGATACACATACATGTACTTATGTTGCGTAGAAAGTTTGAGCTGATTCCGATCAAAATTGGACTTTATATAAATTTTTTAAGTTGCTCAAAAATGGGGTCAAAGTCCCTGTACTATAGTACAGGGGCGTTGGCCAAATTTCGCCAAAAATAAAAAGTTGAGAATTTTCCATTTGTATAATTTTTCCTTATACATATACATGTTC